GGAGATCGTTGACGAAGAAAGGCGATCGTTAACCGCGAAACGAGTGCAATTAGACGAAAATTAAATTTCGAATAGTTTGAATAATAACGTTAAACAGATTTTATGATATAATCGTCGCTCGTATCGACGCAAACGCGATCAATAGTTAACGAGCTTCTTCGATTCGACGAAAATTTCAAGTTCCCTAAAAAGGAAACCCTAAATTTCACTAAAGAATCCAAAAAAATAAAATCCTCCCTTAGTTCATTAGCGACAAGAATCGAAATTACGATATAATCTGAAAATTCAAATTTAACCACTATTACAAAAAAACACTTTTCAAGAACCACCAGGAAGCTTCGTCTTGAATAACAATTACACCTAAAAAAAAAAATATCAACACTTGGGTCCACGAAAACTTGCACAGATAACTCGTTACACTGCACAAGTATTTTAGCAACAGCCTCGAAGAATGCAAATTACTCGTTGAAATATGTTCAGTCCACGTTGGTGCGTCATCTTTCGAGACACTTTCTTGGACGAACTTGTATCGAGGAATATTTGGGCAAAATATTTGGAAGAGAAAAAAAACAAAAAAAAAAAAAAATCGTAACGTATCGCGATAGAAAAGAAACCTTGAAGAGCACGATTCATCGTGAAATGAGGAGAATATCGCAAAAAATATTGATAAAGAAATCGGTCATACTCACGGAGCAATGTGCGGTTGCTAGGGAGACCAGAGGGGCTGGACCACATCTCTACAGAGAGGAAGCAATCCGTCCGTGTATTTTGCCGAGAGGCGGGGAAAGGGGGTGTCTCTAAGGGCGGCTGCGACCAGAAATTTCGCAGAGATGGAGTTTCTGCAGAATCATCACACGGTGAACACCTCCGAACCGCCGTACACCCTTGGCACAGGTGAGCCGTAGTGTTCATACTTGAAACAAACATTTCGATAATCATAGTATATGGTAAAGATGAAGGTTTGGTTAAATTGGTGCTATGCTTGTTTGTATCGTTGTTGAAGGGAGAGAAATTCCATCGCGATTTAGTGTTTTACGTTTGTATCTTGCAGCGTGATTGTATCGGTCTTAAAACAAAGTATTCGATCGAGATGTTGTGTTTCACGTTTGTATCATTCTGGGGGGAAAGGTATTCGAGAATTAGTGTTTCGTGTTTGTATCATTCTTGGGGGGAAAGTATTCGGGAATTAGTGTTTGACGTTTGTATCGTCCCTAAAACAAAAGCGTTCCATCGAGATTTAGTGTTTTATGTTTGTATCTCTCAGCGTGATTGTATCGGTCTTGAAACAAAGTATTCGATCGAGATTTAGTGTTTAGCGTTTGTATTTTAAGTGTGATTGTATCGGTCTTAAAACAACGTATTCGACTGAGACTTTGTTTCATGTTTCTATCATTCTTGGGGAAAAAGTATTCGGGAATTAGTGTTTTGATGTTTGTATCGTCCCTAAAACAAAAGCGTTCCATCGAGATCTAGTGTTTTATGTTTGTATCGTCCTTAAACAAAAGCATTCGATCCAGATTTTGTGTTTCGTCTTTGTATTATACTCAAAACCAAAAGTATTCGATCGAGAATTAGTGTTTTATGTTTGTATCGTCCTTAAAAAAGTGTACTCGATCGAGAATTAGTGCTTTATGTTTGTATCGTCCTTAAAACAAACTATTCCATCGAGAATTTGTGTTTTACGTTTAAGAATTGTATCGGTAACTGAGTTATGATAACTGTAAACGTTTTGTAAGGAATTTGATGAATTTTGTGGTACAAATTCATCCCGTTAACCTAGATTAAAAGTGTAATTAATACGGCTTCATCTTTTTTCACGTTTCTCCGACTCGTAGATACCATACGAATTCTGAAAATGTTTCGTTTCTACTTTATTTGCAAACGTCTCACACGCACTTCCTAAAGAATCAAGTCACGAACTTCTCAAACTTCTCCATAAGCTCAAAAAACTCTAACAACTACTATCCCAATCAAAAAATTATCGAACATCGTGTATTCGTAATAGTAAACACATCTCGTCTTTGTAAATCTCATTTACTTTTCTTCAACAAGCAAAAACATATCTAAACAAGATTATTAACTCGTGTAATATGAAACATCTAATTTTTCAAGGGAAAAAAAAAAAATTTTTAAATTCAAACAAACATTTTCCTTTAATTTACCAAGCATTGCACGAACGTCGAATTACCACGAAAAGACACAACTTTTCATCACTTGAGGGGTCAATTTGCAAATGATTAGAAAACCATTTTATATTATACGATTTGATACCATGCGATTCGCATAACTGATGTGAATTGGCCGTACCCAATCATTTTGTTCCAATACTGTACCAAGTTGATGACACGAGCAATAAAAAACACATAAAAAGATTTTTTAAAATTTAAAAGTAGCAGGTAAAATTTGGCAAGTAGGATTTTTAAAGAAAATTCATGCGTCCTTGTACCAAAGCTCTAATATTACCGTCTAAAATTTCCACCTCAAGTTAATAATACGAGCAATAAAAAATTTGAAAGTTTCAAAGTCTCGAGTATGACTTCCAAAGAAAATTTCATTTTCGTGAGAATTTATACGTCCCTATACAAAACCTCTTAACCCCTTGACTTATGATCCTTTTGCCGACTGTGCATCTAAAGGCATTACCTATTTACCGTTTCAGTACTGTACTAGATAAGAAAAGCTGATGTATTAGAGGTTAATTAAATTTAGTAATTCTTGGTCTTCTAAATTAAAAATGAAAGTTAAAATTAAAACGAATTTCTGTTACTATAACAGTATAACACACTCTTTGTCGCATCTTGACCAGAATCTGTGCCACGAGTCTGACCCGTTGTTACAAAGCAAGGGGTTAATGTTACGTTTGAAAATTTCAACAATTCTGACTGTGTCTGGTGAAATTCGCAGGTTCGGTGGGAAGTATCGAGGCAACCATACCTTCCGGTCTCTGCACCGGGCCTCTCGGGGTGCTGTCCAGCGAAGACACCCTAACAGATAATCAAAACGAGGAGACTCTGGGTGCTCTGCAGGGTACCCTACGTCTTCAAGATCTGCAGAACTCTCCAGAAGACATTGGTGGTGATCACAACCAACAGATCCAAAATTCTGGACAGAATCAAGTGGTCAGTGAGTTCGGGGCTAGCTTCTGGGTCGATGATATGGCTGGCTTTCCTTTGCCACCGCTGGACTTGGACCCTTTACCACCTGGTCTCTTCAGCCCATGCTCGGGAACCTATAAGTGAGTCGAAGAGAATCCTTGTACTTCTTCGTTTTCACCTTTTCCTGCGGATTAAGTGACATTATTCATTTTCGGTTTAACCCTTTCGCGACCGATGGGACGCACATGTCCCACTTGAGTACTCAAATGATCTCGATTTAGGATGATTGACAGATAAATGAGAAATTCTTAGATAGGATAATTCGATCACGAAAGGATTAACACGGTGAGTGAGTGTAAATTGGTTTGCAGTCAGAAGTTTTCTTTTGGAACGTTGCGAATATAGTAGATTTGAAAATGTATGAAAAACTGTGTTTGTGAATTTAGAACAGAATTTTTGGTTCGATTTTTGGATAACGAAGAATTTATGGATTGCAGTGTTTTTTTTGTCTAATGGAATATAATTGTTACTGTTTCGAAATTGTTGCAAATATAGTAGATTTGAAAATGTAGAAAGTAATATTTGTGAATTTAAAATTTGGTTCGATTTTTGGATAACGAAGAAATTATTTATGCAAAATTGTGTTAATCAAGTTTACATGATTGTCTTTTGAAGGGAATTATTTACACGAAATAAGGTAAAAGTAGAAAATAATTGAATGTACAATTCACATTCTTTCGTAGATTTCTTACTTTCAATTGATTTATTCGTCTGTCGGTTCGTTCAGACTCGCAGTGAATTAAGGTGCGCCTTGGTCTGACCGATCTTAGGCATTTCTACTTAGAATCGTAGCATTGCTTGTATGTATTAATCGTATTTAAGATACATTCACAGGAAACGCAAACTAGCAAAATATATCTTTAGAAAGACTTTCTTTTCTCCTAACATATTTCAAACCTGATAGTTCAAAATTACAGTATTTTAATTTAATTTTAAATTAAACGTAAAAATATTAATATTCACAGAAAAATAAAAAGAATTCTATTAGATATTTCGTACTATAAAAGTTCTTCGTTTGAAACTAAAAAACCTCTCCATTTACACAATTCCTCTATCTCTAATATTTTACTAAACAAAATATGTTTCCTCGACTTTAAGGCTGATTTTCACACCTTCTCTACTAACAGCAGTAAATAAATAGAAAAGTTTGCTCGACATTAAGGCTAATTTTCATCTCTTCACTAACAATAATAAATAAAAAAAGAAAAAGAGCAAAATGTTTCATTAACTTTAAGGCTGATTCTCACACCTTCACTACCAACTATAGTATATAAACAAAATACGCTTCCTCAACATTAAAGCTAATTTTCATCTCTTCACTAACAATAATAAATAAAAAAAAAGGAAAAGAGCAAAATGTTTCCTCAACATCAAGGCTGACTCTCATCCCTCGACTACAAACAATATATACAAAAAAAATACATTTCTTCTATTATTTTGAGAACTACCCTTACTGCAAAATTTCAAATATTCCCTTATTAAAATCTATACAAAAAATCACCCTCTTTTTCGTGCAGAAAATACGTTTCCAATCTAACGAGCGACGTATCGCTAACAGAAACAGAAAAAGAACCATGAAGAGGCAGCACGTGTAGCATAAAAAATGACTGTAACACTGTATTCGATGTACCTTGTAATTTTTAAGTGTCCTTGCAGTTGGGGTTGCACCAGAGGAGAATGTGCGCCAAGAACGAGCAACGCAAATGGAGAAGGTGTCGCGGATGTGTTACTATCGTTAAAACATGCTGTCGTCCATCCCGGAAGTCCTACCGGCGGATACTACTCGACAGGGGGATCGAGTCATCATTATTCCCAGGATTACACGCAAAATCTGGGCCCACCCGTGCCACCCACGCATTATGCGTCAACTCCAGCCATGTCTGTCAACGTTTCCATGAATATGACCATGAATATGAACATGCACTCTGGGTAAGTAGCACTTTGAAATCGTACATTCGATGCTTCTTTTCATTTCTGAACCCTTTGCACAACCACTTTGCGTGTATTTACGTTGAAATAAAAAAAAAACTTGACGAAAAAAGTAAAGATAAATGAATTCACAAAAATTTATAATTCTTTCCTTTTTTGAAACGAACGTTTCGATTCTCAAAAAATTTCACCGCAAAAGTGTGCTGCTCTGAGTGCAAAGGGTTGGAACACAGCTTCCGCGTTAAATATTTTTCTTTACCACTGGAGCACTATTTTCTGAAATTTTCAAACAGATTAATTTTGGAAAGTTTCTTCCACTGAAAATGTACACTTCGTTAAATTACACGATTCGAATGTTTTTTGATTTATTAATCTGTTAAACTGTTACATAAATTTCCTTCAAAGGGTTCACAGAATGTCAAGAATAATTTGTTCACATTTCTTCTTTTTCTTTAGTGTTTTTAACAATGTTCAGTATTATGGAAGTAGATACTGTTTAGTTTCTGAACCATTTTCATGCGGTACAACTGTATGCTAGAAATCGACACTTTATTGGAAGCCATACGAATTGTAAGACGAACCAATACTCTATTCTGCGATTGTATCAGAGAAATAAAAGGGGTGAATTCTACTTAATTACGTGAATTGACAACTGTATATTTCTCTTTTCGCAACTTGCGTGTTATATAAAAAGAAACTACCCTACTTTTTTATAGTATTTCTGAAATTCTTGCAGTAACAACAAATCGCTGAATACTATGATTTATTATTCACCAACACATTGCTCGAAGCAATAATTTAATCGGCAAAATAATCTAACAATTACCACGATATGTTTTTCAAATTTCAAGGGGATGTAAAAAATTCTACTTTTCTCTATGAAAATTTAAAGGGACTTGATTGCATGCTTATTACACAACGTATGGATTGTTCAATCACTTTACAAATGTTTTTACTTAAATAAATAATACCAAGGTAATTCAAGCAATTCGTTAAACAAATTTCCAAGTTGTTCAAACTAATCCGAGTATCACATTTGCAAACAATTCGAAATAATTAAAAAAGCCTGAAAGCTAGAGAAAAGATTGTATATCCAATACAGCAACATTCTTATTAAATAAATCATTCCTTGTCATTCAATCTCCAAATTTCATATTTAACAACGGTACACTGCATTAAAGATATTAAACTATCGCTAAGTAAATATCTTGCATTAAACATCACCCTAACCAAGCAAATTTTAACCCTTTGCACTTCACACTGAGGCAAAACAAACAAACAAACAAACAAAAACAAAAAAATAAACATTCACAATTTCGTCTTTTCGAAACAAAAACGTTTCCTTGCCAAAACTATTCCGGATCCATCGTTACAAAAAACATATTTCGAGTACGAAACGGGGTTAAACGTAAATATAATTCGAAATCAATTTCTGTCGACTGATTTTCTATAACAACTTACAACATTCCCCTATACGGGGACAAAACAACCCTTCGCCATTTTGCTCGGCGGTTAAGGGTGTACACCCCCAAGGGGTGTGTAAGAGCGAAGTTATTCAGAAATTTCACGTTTGTGTGCGTAGGTACGAGCAAAGCTATTCGTCGGCGTGGGGCGTGGAACCCCTGTTAAGTCCCGCCCAGCAGTATAATCCTGTGGAGCAGCAGACGAGGGTGAATCAACCCCCGGCCAATAGCCTGATCGGCACCAGCACCCATCCTCATTCGCATCCCCCGGCGCACAGCCATTCCAGGCTGCAATTGTCCAGTGAACATGCGCTGTGCATAGGCGCCACCGGGAACCCAGTCACACCCGACGACAATGGCAGACCTAACCTCTGTAGAATTTGCGGCAAGTCGTATGCGCGGCCGAGCACCCTCAAGACACATCTTAGAACGCACTCTGGGGAGAAACCGTTTAGGTTAGTGGCGGGACTGCTCCACTTATCCGCTCGATAATGTTCGATCGATACAGGTTGTTGTTTTCGTTGTTGGTTGTCATTTGATGATCGTTCGATGATTTGAATTTCGAATTGAAAACACTGAGAAAGATTTTTCTTTTCCTTTTCTGATGTAAAAGAAACGAACGGTTAAAGTAAAATATTGGAACAAGTATTGAATGGAGAATATGCATCAACGATATATATCGATATTTGGAGATGATAATAGGAAAATTGATTTGATGTGTTCTATTTTACCATTGATTTGTTTAATTAACGTGTCAATTTGATATTGTGAATGAAGAGAATTTTGTTTGAATAAATATTCGAGTACAAGTTATTGGTAAGTAATTATATAGTATTGTTGTTGACAAGGTTGAATGATTATGGAAATTCTGAGAGATATATCGCCCAGGTATTGACAAAAAGTTTATTCTAATCAATGCTATTATAAAAATATTGCTTCTATTCTAAAATAGTTTGAACTTTAATAATTTTTGAACACTGTTCGCGAGAGCATCATTCCCATCACTACTTTAGGTTAGGTTTTAAAACTTTCGTTGTGATTATAGAATACTGGTTCTTCGAAAATGATACATGCTTGATGTGAGATTAATAGTTTTTCTTTTAAAGTTATAGATACAATTAGTCCACAAATTCTTTAGACAAAATACTTACAGTCATTCTTTCGGTATATTGTTTTTCGCAATTGTAATATTCAAAATGTTTTCAAACTAAAACGGACCGATTACGAACCAAATACAAATTCGTCACTGTTACCAATATCCGCTACTGACATTATAATAACATCGTATTAAGATCGAAATCAAACACTTCGTATGAAGAGTAAAAATATTTATTTGAATGCAATAGATCTTGTATTCGGAAATGACGTCACAGTAGCTAATAATTGTTCGAACGATGTACACGATAGATCAATATATCGAAACGACCCTTCTGTGAAATCGTAAAATTTTAATTTTTTTTTTTTAATCGTATGACTTTACTAGTATCATTTCATATTTACAAAATGTTTAAACATTTACATCTTTTAGGTGTCACGCGTGCTCAAAGGCATTTAGTCAAGCCGCGAATTTAACTGCCCACGCTAGAACTCATTCCGGAGAAAAACCGTTTCGATGCCCCGTGTGCGATCGAAGATTTTCGCAAAGCAGTTCCGTAACCACACACATGAGAACGCATTCAGGAGAACGTCCGTATAGGTGAGCTTTATCTCATTATATGGATTATTCAAATTATTTACCGTATAACACGTGCCACTCCAGCCGGTATATATCGTTACTTGGAAGCATTTGTATTTTCGTTTCGCGCGAAAAAGTAGAAAAATTCGTAACATTATTTATTTATTATACAAAATTATCTCAGAAATTTATATAAATTACTTCCAAGTTAACGATCGCAAACATTCTCATGATGAACAACGTAACACATTATTATGTTTTATAATCCGATTGATCGATTTACCTCGTAACTGGTAACCTTTTTTCCAGATGTCGATTCTGCAAGAAAGCATTTTCGGACAGTTCTACTTTAACCAAACATCTTCGTATTCACTCTGGCGAGAAACCGTACCAGTGTAAGCTGTGCTTGCTGAGGTTTAGTCAGAGCGGTAATCTCAACAGGCATATGAGAGTCCATGGTGGCTCTCTAACGTGACACAGCTCAATATCGATTATCGATAACAATCACGTCCTACCGCGTTGTTGTCGAATACCTGTGATTCAACTTGGCTCGAGTTTACCGGAAAAAATGTAAAATAAAAATACATGCGACAGTCGATACTCTCGATAGGGTTCTGCCTCCTGACTGATTCAAATTTACAAAACCGTTCGTACGAACACCTGGTTATTTAAGGGCTTACATTTGGATATTTTTTTAAACGATACACAAGACAAGTAATAATCACAATATGTGTTATATTTGGCATTAGGAACTCATCAAGAATTCATTATATCATCATCATCATCATCATCATCATCATCATCATCACCACTATCATTATCATCATCATCATCTTCTGAATCGGAACATTAAATCGAAGGAAATAAAAAACGAAATGTGTCGACACCGTTATAATTTTAGGAAAGTATGCACTCGCGAAATTTCCTGATTCGTCACTTATACGTTCACGAATTGTTTACAAATAGGTCAGGATAGGTTAACAGGGTATCGCAGATTTAGACCTACAGCATCCACCACAGCACCGTTGATTATTGTACAAATA